TTTCCCTCTCTCTGTCTCTCTCTCTCTGGTCAAATTAAAATAAGTAAAGAAAGTAAATGAAATGAAATAAATCTTTTTTTAAAAAAAAAAAGTTGAATTCCAATTTCTCTTTTGCTTACACTTGTTATTATATGCTAAGTATAGATATTTTGAGTTATATTTACTTTTATTAAATTTAAATCATCTCTCTTTAACTCACCTTATTCTGTACATATCTATTATCCTAAGCTAACATACAACTCTACGATCTTATAAGCTCTTCCTCATCAATATGTTAATGCCTTTTGTGACTTTTGTAAACACTGGATTTTGAAACATTCCCAAACATCAGCCTAAGAATTAAGATTGAAATCCATGCATACTCCTAGTAGAAATCATGGAATTTTTACAGAAAGTCTTTGAAAAAGGTTTGAACACTGGGACCATTTGTGCTTGATAATGTCTATAAATATGAAACAAGGAAATATTTAATACAATTTTAAACATTTTCTGTATTATTTTAAAATTTTATTTATTTATATTTATTCATTCGTTTATTTTAATTTTACCCGAGAGAGACACAGAAAGAGAGGGAGAGTGAGAAAGCAAACCACCAGGTCTTGGACTTGAACCGTAGTCGGCCATGTGGGAGAGTATAGCGCCCTAACCACCACGCTACCTGCTAGCCTCCAATTTTCTTCATTATTTTTGAAGTTTATTCATTTATTTATTTCATGAGCAAGAGAGAAAGGGGAGAGAGAGAGAGAGAATCTTCAACAGAGTCTCGATCCTTTGATCCACTCTCAGCTGAATTTCAACCAGCCCTGGATTATGAGCGAGTGAATGCCTACCAGTTTCTAGACAAAAATCTTTTCAAATGGGCTTGCCTCAGAATGTCTTGTTTTACTGCTGTGCCTCTACTTGGCCCCATTTCTTAGTTATTTTAACTTTATAAAAATTATCATAACCAGTAAAATAAGATATTCTGATATAAAGTTAATGTCTTTATATAGAGGAGCTTGAAATAGTAGGGGGAAATTATAACTAAAGGAAACAGTAGATGTTTTCATTCTAGGCTTTGGAACTTTGGATTGGCTGCTGCTAACCCTGAACTTCAGAACTAGGTTTTTTTGTTTGTTTGTTTTTGCTTTATGTCAGGATTTTCCTGCCTCAGCCTCATAGTAGCTGGGACTATAGGTGCCCAGCCCACCACTGTCCCAGCTGACTTTTAAGGTAAGCCAGGGATCAAACCAAGGCCTCCCATATGGCTTCAGCCAACTGATTAGCAGCATCTACTGGTGTACACTACTGGCTGAGCTAGAGCCTGGCTTTTTAATAAACAATTTTTGTTCCTTCATATGACAGTATCTCTCAATAAAAGGCTCACAGGACATTGATGTGTATTATTAAAATATAATACAAAACTTCCCCTTGATGAGAGATTTTATGAAATTCAATGTATTTTTTAAAGTGATTCTATGTTTATAAAAGGGCTTTTGTGTTTCAGTAAAGTGGCGCTCCAGCGGTCAAGCGGAATGGATGAGACTGGAGTAATTGTGTGGTATTTAGCACTTTGTCTTCTTCTGGCTTGGCTCATAGTTGGGGCAGCCCTGTTTAAAGGAATCAAGTCTTCTGGCAAGGTAATTTGGAAAACACATTAGATTGTGATGTACCTGCTTTCCAATTTTATTATAGTTCAATGTCAAGCATTACCTAATGCATGTTTTTTTTTTTTCTATAATGGGAACATTCAAATATGTGAAAAGCTTTCTAAGTAGGTGTTCTTGTTCTAAGCACATACATAAGATAACTGCTATTGTTAAAACCAAACCAAAAAAAAAAAAAAACTAGTATTAACGTTATGCAACTCAAGACTTGGACCCTTGTAAATGATAGAGAATTCTGAAGCTTGAGAGTATGTTTTTAGCTTATCTGTCCCACTACATAAATAAATACCTTGGATGGATTTATATGTTTGATTGGGGACATCTAGATCCTAGTTATATCAGATAATAGTATCAAGAAGTCTTTCAATTGGAGAGAGAGAAAAAAATATATATATAGATATACATACACTATGCAACCATCTTGAGCAAAAGCCTGCCAAAATTGACTCAGAACTTCTCTCAGTGAAGAAGTCTCTTCTGAAAAACATTCTGTTATATTTTTCCACTTTGTAATTTTTTTAAACTCTCAGAGAGTGTAATGGCAATTTAAGGGAATAACATGAAATTTTATCTGTGAGTAGTTACATGATACCTCAAAGAAGTGAATATTTATGTGAGTAGACTAGTTTCTTTGAAGGTAGAGGGCAGGAATAGCTGTGGATGGTATCTTTTATATTTCTAGTACAATATCCAATACATTCAGTTACTGTTAAGTTGTAATGACACATACTGTTCTATTATGAATCCAGTGGAAGCTTTCCAAAATATTTCAATTGCACATTTTTGAAACCCTTGGTTCCTTTTTGATGTTAATATCGAAAGAGTCCATTAAAGGCCATTTACCCAAGCAATTAATTTTTATTGAACTCTGGATGACTTATTTGAATCATCTCCTTGGGCATATTATCAAACATAAGACATCTATGGATCAAATAAATCACCCACATTAATGTAAAAGCAGCTCAAAGGCAATCTGTTCATCTGGAACCATGCATTATCCCATATTCTACTTCATTTAACTCAAATATTGACCTATCCTAGGTGAGCAATAGTTATCTGCAAGATTAGCTCATAATTAACTTTTTATTTTATAAAGTAGTTATTAAATGGTCATACCGCTGTTAGTAATGGCATTTAGTGCTTACTAACTATAAGAGAATTGCTTTGAAGAAAAAAAGTAACCCAATTTTTTATTG